TTTTTTAATTGGAGAAAACCCGTATCCCAGGTTATTAGGCACCATTAATGCCACATCCTGGGTAGGGGCTCCACTGGAGTAACTATTTTGATTAAAAATACCGCATCCATAGCCAAAATATTTATGCTGGAGGGAGCACAGGCTGGGTATAAGGCAGGTGGCTCAGGGATTGAGCTGCAGCGATAGCCTGGCCTGGCTTAATATACCATCTTGTACTTACAACCCCAAACCCACCTGCAGGGCAGAAAAAAAATAGAGCTTATCTTATAGTTTAAACTTCTTGCAGAGTTTAGTTAGGGATCAGAGCAGAGGCCTGCACGACAACTTTGTTCGCAGCTCTGCCACTGAGCTTGTGCTATGACCTTGGGAAGGTCCTTCTCCAGACCTCTGTTTCCCTCTCTTTAAAATAGGAAAACTGCGAAATCCTTCTTTGATACCTCGTGAGGCTGGGCTAAGATTTTTAAGTGTTTTCAGGCACTTGGGAAAAAGGAGCTTTGTAATCGCTGTGCCGTATTCCCTTCCCACCTCATATGTGAACAGGGATTGTGTTGCTCAATGCACTTTGTACAGCACCTAGCACGCAGGAACCTCAGCTGGAGCGTTTTAGGAGTCTATCGTAGTCATGATGATGATGACAGTAGTAACAGCAACAACAACAGCGATCAGATCATGCCACAGAAAGGAGGCTCCCCCCTGCATGCTGATGAACACCCTGGACCCCTGTGAGAATGACAAAGGATGGCAGGGGTCCCCCCAACCAGCGAGCCCAGCGAAAGCAAAGGAAAGATCTTAATTCCCCTTTTGAACAGGAATACATATATATATTGAATAATAAGGGACCGAGCTAAACCACAAAAAGCCAGGAAGCTGCATCCTTAGCTTCGGCTGGGTATTGCTGCGGTCCCCAAGCAGCATGCCTTCTTGCAGATCACACGTGTTGAAATATCTAGGCCCTACATAAGAGTGAGCTCAGGACAGAGATGCACTGGGAATTGCTTTTCCTTTGCCTGCTTGAGTCAGGCTTTTAATGTCTTCCCTTCCCTTCTCTCTCTCTCTCTTTTTTTTTTTAAACAGGCAGTGGTATATTGTTAAACAGACAAGCCGCCGGTGCTTGATTGGCTGAAGATGACATCATTATTGATTACCGCTTGCATCCCACTCCCTGGTGATGCTGCTCCACCTGGCTCGAACCCGAGCCCGTTAATTTCACAAACCAATTAATCCTCGGAGAGAACAACCCTCTTGACTGGCAGGGTGCGAGTGTGCGTTTGAGTGTGCGTGTGTGTTGGGGGAGGCCTGGTACAACTATTATTACCGAGTGTTTCTAATTAAACAAAAATGTTAATCTTGCAGCACATTGTGCAGAATTCCTCTGAGTTTAATTAAAACAACTGCGGCTAGGGGCGTGATCAGATTTGAGGATCAGATCAGCAGAGGAAGCATCTCTGAACGATGTGTATTGCACTGATTCAAGTGCTCAGATTTCCTTCCTGCCAGGAAAGCGAAACTGTCTCCATCCCCGAACAATTGGATTCTCTGTAATAATGCAATTACGGTATCAACTCGAACCCCCCACTAGATGTGCCATCCCCCCCACCCGCCCCAAATGGCTTGCCACACCTGGTCGGGAAGAATAGTTTGGATTACGAGCTCCGTTTCTATAAGTGGGCCAAGCATCTCCGAGAACAAAAGCAAGCAGCCTGGAGGACACATCTGGGCAGATGTTTGCAGCTGAATCATGCTGGCTTTGTAGGGAAAGTGCTTTCAGGTGTTACGCTTGCCATATTAGCAGATGCTGCTCATACCTGCTCATGGATCTGACGGTCTAAGGGCCTTCCCTGGGGAAAACCTGGCGAATTACCTCAAGGCCAATGAACAAGGTAGCGTGAGAAAGATCTGGTGGGAGGAGAGGGTGCTCCAGCATTCATTTATAATAAATCCTACCAGAGGACGTGCTCTGTGCCGGGGAAATGCATGGAAGTGGCTCCGGCGCATGCGCTCGCGTGCGTACAGTCATACAAATACAGTAGAGGTCGCTGACTAGCAGGCAGAAGTGATCACAGCCGCCGTCTCCTTGTCGCTCTGGAAGGTGGCAGCGCTGTGTTTGGATAATTAACTGTGCTGGAAATGAAGATGATGAAGAGAGATAAAGCTGGCAGTGCCGCCGCTCCCTTCCCTAGAGCCGGCAGTTGCTTAATAATTTAAAGGGGCCGGAGAGGAGCGTGCACGCACGCAAGTGTGCTAGGCACTGAATGCAAAAACTCTCTGGAAGCAAAATGAAGAGTATGCGATCCAGCTCCCCAGAGCCAGGAAATGCCAAAGGGGAGTGTAATGCTCTGCCCGTCTCTAGAGATGCCCAGCCCAGGATCTCTCAGCACTCGACGAGTGAGACTAAGCTAAGCCTTGCGATACCCGGTGCGGTCAATAGTATCCCCATTTCACAGCTGAGGAATGATGTGATGAATCGGCATGCTCAAGATCACGTAAGCCTTGGACAGCGCCAGGACCAGAACCCAGGTTCTCCTTCACACGGGCTCTGACAATACCTCCCAGAAACAAGAGACGCACGCTCTTTCCAGCCACATCCACGTGTTTTCTGTATGCTGTCATTTTAGCACGAAAACGATGCCAGGGGCCATAGCTGGGTGCTCTTTCTTCAAACGCTGCATCTTCTGACTCGAGCTTTAGTTATGGAACCAGAAATGGGAGAGGTTTCATGTTTCTTTGCAGCATTTAGTTTGGAAAAATTGATGAACCCCTGAAGAAAACCAGGGGCGGAAGAAGGGAGAACAGTTTTGTAACATTTCTTATAGCAAGTCGTATCAGGCATCTTTAATAATTAGAAGAGAGTTCATCTTTAAATAGCCGTCTCAAAGGACAGCCCTCTTTGGGAAGGGAGGGTTGCAGCTGGTATCCAGCATGCTGTGCAAGCAGGGGGAGGCAGGGAAATTTTTGTCCCAGGACATTTGCTGAACTGAATTTCTGCTATTACCAGATCCATGCAGAGCTAATGGAAGCTTTTTTTTTTTCCCCCCAGCCTGCATCTATTAACCACACGAAAAGGGAAAACTGCATGGAATTCAACATATCGACCTCTGCAGAGTGAAGAGCTAAGTCAATCCTGCTGGGATTTAATCCTATGGTTCACAGGAATCTAGTCGAGATGACTAAGCCAATTCGCCTCCATCTTGTAGTAGCAGAAAGAAAATCCTTTTGGAGGCAGCCAGAGCAGGCACTGGAACGAATGGCTACGAAGAGGATGATCAAGTCCTGGCTTTCAGAAGCCTCCTGCAAACTTTACACGTCGGGCCTGTGCGTGTCCGCAGGAGGGCACGGCCACTGGACGGAGAATGGGTTTCCTCTTGATCCTGCTTCTCTGGCCTGCAGTTCCAGCGTCTTTGTATTCTCCTCTAAGAAGCTCTAGAAGAAACAGAGCCGGGAAGTCCTATGGCCAGTGCGATGCAGAGGGTCAAATTAAGGATCACAATGGCCCCTACTGGCCTGCTAATCTCTCCATCCACGTGCGCACATGTCCTTCGGTTCGCAGCATCTTTCTGCAGAGATCTAACATCCCTGCACGTCTTCTTCCTTCCCTGTTAACCGCACTCTCTCCCCCTCTCTCTGGACCAGGTGAACAGAAACGTTCTCTCCTGGTCCCCAGCCCTGTCACTCCTCCTCCCTGCACATCCTTCCTGTAACCCTGCCTGCTCCTCCCAATGCCATATTCTCTCTCTCTCCAATCCTCTGAGCTCTCATGCCGTCCCCAACTCCTGGGCACCATCGTCAAGCCTGCTGCCTCCTGGAGGTAAAGGATATTGGAAAACAGCTGCACCAGGTGCAGAGCATTTTCCGAGTTCAGGATGATGCTGAAGATGAGGCAAAGCGAGACCGGGTGCTCTTCGCTGTGTTTGCATGGCCAGCAGCCATGAATCTCTCTTTCTGAAAAAAGGGGTGGGAAATATAATCTTCTTATGAGAAGGGGGGGAAGGAAAAAGAAAAGAAAAATCAAACCAAAACAGAATATCATGCCTGCGACCAAGGAGCTTTGAAGAACGCTACAGACA